GAGATTTGCATTTTATTTTAAATCCAGGAATCAGAAATTCCAGACACACAACAAGCGCATACCTAACTTTCTAATACCAGACTTTGTACACCTGGAAACATCTGCCCAGACTTGAGTAATTAATCTAGAGAAATCTAGATTCTGAGATTCTGGATATTGCATTTTACACATAAAAATAAGCAAGTTTGTTGTTTTTCAGAGAAAAGGGGATTATATGGGCATCCGTTTTTAGATGAGGAGCATTAAGTGTATTAAAATGATTAGTACCCAAGGAACTTTCTCTTGGTTTCAGAAATCCCCATCCCAGCTGCCTGCTCTCCTGCTAATTATGGATTGGTAGAACACTGGATGAATGGAGATAATGATCTGCTGGAATCACCTGAACTACAAAGTATCAGCAGCTGATGCAGCACGTTCTGCCTGGAGCAAGGGATACAACAGTGATGATGGTTCATCTTGGCACTCCAGGTGTTTGTGGACTGCATTTCCCATAATGCTCAGCCAGTCGGGAGAAATGTGGTCCATAAACCTCTGTGTGTCAGTAATCCCAGGTACAGCGAGTAACAAAGGACAAGGTAACCCAACTCCTGCAGTCTCCCTGCAGCTTGAAGAAGCACTTACTTCGAAAATGCTCCGATGCGTAGTAATAGACATCTTCATAGCCCTCATGGTAATCCTCCTCCGGCCGGTACTTTTTGCCTTTTCGCCTCCTGGATCTCCGGATCTGCCGGACAAACCCCAGGAAGCGCTCCATGTCTCCTGGTCGGGCGGTGAGAAGGGGCTAGCAGGCAGGCTGGGGGGGCATCCACTGGGGAGACTGACAGCTGGGGCTCTGTCTGACCTGTGTGTGTGTGTGATCAATGTGTATTATTGTGTGTGTGTGATCAATGTGTATTATTGTGTGTGTGTGTGTGTAATCAATGTGTATTATTGTGTGTGTGTGTGTGTAATCAATGTGTATTATTGTGTGTGTGTGTGTGTAATCAATGTGTATTATTGTGTGTGTGTGTGTATGTGATCAATGTGTGTTATTGTGTGTGTGTAATCAATGTGTATTATTGTGTGTGTGTGACCAGTGTGTATTATTGTGTGACCAGTGTGTGTGTGTGTGTGATCAATGTTTATTATTGTGTGACCAGTGTGTGTGTGTGATCAATGTTTATTATTGTGTGACCAGTGTGTGTGTGTGTGTGATCAATGTTTATTATTGTGTGACCAGTGTGTGTGTGTGCATGTGATGTGTGTATGTTTGTCTATACTCAATGTGTTTGTGTCATTGTGTATCATTGTGTTTGTGTCAATGTGTATCTGTGTGTGTGATCAATGTATCTGTGTGTGTAATTCTGCAGGTACCGGTCTGTCTCCTTTACTCCAAGGTGTCCTGCCCCCCGCATGCCAATTATTCATTTCCAGTGTGGTGGCCCCATGGCCAGCCTGGCACAGAGAGGGCACTGGGCTCAGTCTGGGCACGGGTTAGTAAAGTTGCCTGGCTGGCTGTGGGAGTCAGTGAGAGAGATAGAGGGCTCCCTGCATTGACATGTCTCTCCCCCCGCCTCTTCCCTCTGCCGCCGGCCCTCCATCATTGGAGAAGGGGTGTGTGGAGGCTGGGAGACGCCTTGCTGCCAGGGCTGAGCCATTGTGCTGCATAGAAGGAGTGACAGCCCGCCTGGACAGCCTCCCCTGGCAGCCGGGGACATAGAACCATGCTGCTACTGTCACCCTCTGTCACACACCTTACAACAACAGCATGCTCCCCCCCCCCCCCATTATTCTTCATCTTCTGCTTGGGGAGAGATGGGGGTTTAAGCTGCAAACTGGGCTCTGACCTTTAACATTCATTTAATCAACAAATAATGCCTTCCTGGCCCACAGTGACAGCAGCCCTGTTACAATAAACATGTTTTTATCTATTTATTTTGTGTTCCTGTCTCTCCCATTAGTAGAAGACGGTTATAGTAAATAATCAATGACCAGACACAGCCACCTGTGGCAGAGCACACAGAATAAAATGGCTTTAATTATGTGCCAGTCCATTGACTCCTACACAGATAAATCTGAGTCATGCTAGTTCACTTATTATTGTGGAATACTGTCACTCATTATATTCCTGAGCCCATGTGAAGGATGTGTAGACTCTTTCTTGATGACTCATACTTTCAAAAAAACTATCTTCTTTAAGAGTGTTTCTTGCATAATTATTACTACAACATGATTTCTTTAGGAAATAAAAATGTAAATAATTGAAGGACAGAAGCAAAACGATATAATGAGCCACATTTCAAATTCAAGCTAAAAAAATAAAATAAAAAAGAACTGGCATGTATGGTGCTTATCACTAAATTAGATATTGTGAATAAACTGAGGAGATAATTTCATATTTTATGGTGAAATAAATGAACATGTTGGTCTAAAATGTGCGACACTCCTGGTTTTGTGAGTATTTCCAAGTCAGAGATTAATTTAGTGATGACAAGGGTATTCGTTAGATGTTGAACTGCAGCAAAAGAAATCTGAATTGCAAAATTGGGGCCAAAATAGCCAAGCTTTGACTATAGGTGAGCTGGAGAACTATTTTATCAGAACATAACGTGAGAATTCAAATTGAACTCCAAATTTTAGGCCGAAGTAATGGAAGCATTGCTGAAACATATTTTGGTCTTACATTCACAATTCACTTGCTAACTTCAGTGACTAACCCTGTAAGTGGTACTATTCTGTTTTTATTTTATGACAATTTAGAATTTAGGGAAGCCTGCCATTGCTTAATATTGTAAAGCACTACAGAATCTGTTGGCGCTATATAAATGGCAATAATAATAATGGCTTCCCCGCGATTACACTGATGAACGGATGTACACCCTTATTGAATGCACGGTCGGGAAGCAAGTTAAGCTGGCCAACGCCTACCCAACGCCTGTTTCTAATACCAGCCTGTATTCAGATAGACCTACATCGGCACAGAGTCTATGCCAACATTCTGTTTGTCAGAAGGGAGGGGGAGAGCAAATTTAGCAGCAATTTATACAGATGTCTGTACATTTGTTAGTGATTTAGCTAACATAATGTATAGATTAAATATCTGAAAATAAATTATTTTATAGTACGGTTAAGTAAATTACAAGCACCCTTTAAACTGGGGTTCTGACACCATAATACTAGTTACCGCGATGTATTGAGTGGGGTGACCCTATACTTTGTAAAAACATAACTCCCTCTGTGAAAGATTAATTATTTCCCTTTAAGAAGACTAATATTTTTGTACTGCTATTTTATTTGAACTTTTCATGCCCTTCACAGCTGACTGCTCCTTCGAACACTTGCCGATTCCTTTCACAATACCAGGGTCTTGTAGTGTTATATTACCTTTTTGTTTAATGTTTTCTCAAACTGGCTGCAAATGTTTTCTTAAATAAAGAAGTAAAGGGAAAAAAAGAAAAGAAGGTATACTTGCACATAACATAAAACAGCAACTTGCTGTTCAGGTATTTTAAAATAAAAAAATAAAAATTAAACAGAATGTTGTAGATACGTAATAAAAATTACACCCATGTATTTTTTTCATGCATACCTTTATAGAAATACTCATTATAAAATGTACTATAAATTGTAAGGTATCCTGTAATATTTCTAAATAAATTAAAAAAATAAAGTCTAACAAAAATTAAGCCCCGCACTTAAAATAAAGTCTATCTTGTGTATAATCAAGGATGGCAGGAAAGACATTAATTATATATAAATAAAAAGGGATGCCATGAGTCATGATTGATTGTAAACTATAGGAAAGAAATGTAACAGATTTCTCAACTCTGTTCTATAGAGACAGTTGCTTAATAGGGCAAACCAGGGTTACATTATAGTTAATTTTTTTTGTTTATGTTTGTTGTTTTTTTTTCCTTTTTTTAATAAGAACTAAATTATTAAATTCTATCTGCCTCTCCTTTGAAACCTTAATGTTTTCTCGTTTTGCTCCAAAAACACATGTACATGATGTCATATACAGTGCTATGGAATTTGCTGGCGCTATATAAATAAAATAATAATAATAATAACATACATGTACCGAATGTCATGACTTACATGTTTATTCACTAAAGTTCAGATGTATCAAAAATAACTGAAATTCCCTTTAGCAGAAATGAGAATTGTAGCTCAGATGCAATTCTGTTATTTCAACTGAAGTTTGCTGATCCAAACACCAAATTTCAGTCCTTCGTTAATAAATATGTTTGGTTTCTGGAAGTTGTAGTTCAAATATTTTCTACAGTGGAAAGCTAACAAAACAATAACAACTCACAGAAACGTGTAACACACGGTCTATGGGATTTGCCCAACAGGGCTACAAAAATGTAAACCAACATTGTGATTAACCAAGTCATTTCCTAGTCTAACGCATGTGCTGCACATTCTGGGGATGTACAGGAAATGCAGGATCTTCAAACATGAGTATCTTTTTTGTGATCATATTCAACATATTGTTTTATAAAACATTATCTATAGGAATGATCATCTGAGGTTGTCAAGTCTCTGCAGAGACTTGTTGGTCATTTTGAATGTAGACTGATATGCTTTAGTAAGCTAAAGCTTGTTCAAGGTGCTACAGACATTTACAGAGTGATAAATGTCATAGGGGATACAATTAACCTCCAAAGGTTACCTTTTGATGTATTGTTGAGGAGGCTACAGTAGGTTACTTTACTGGTTATGAATGCACTGATCAGCCACAACATTAAAACTATCTGCCTAATATTATGTAGGTCCCCCTTGTGATGCCAAAACAGCTCTGATGCATCAAGACATGGACTCCACAAGACCTCTGAATGTGTCCTGTGGTATCTGGCTCCAAGACATTAGCAACAAATTCTTTAAATCCTGCAAGCTGCGACGTGGGACCCGATGGATTGGATGTGCTGTTCCAACACATCCCACAGATGCTCAATTCGATTGAGATCTGGGTGATTTGGAGGCTAAGACAACAGCTTGAACTCTTTGTAAAACATGTTCAGGAATGGTTTGAGGAGAATGGCAGTGTCGTAGATTGCATTATCCTGCTGGAAGAGGCCACTGCCATTAGGGCACTCTATGAAGGGGTGTACGTGGTCTGTAGGTAGGTGATAAGTGTCAAGGTAATGTCCACACGAATGTCAGGACACAAGGTTTCGCAGCAGAACATTGCCCAGCATAATACTGCCTTCGTCGCCCTGCCTTCTTCCCATTCTGAATCCTCCTGCCATCTCTTCCCCTGGTAAAGGATACACACACCCGGCCATCCCTCCAATCTAAAAGAAAACGTAATTTATCAGACCAGGTAACCTTTGCTCCATGATCCAGTTCTGACAACCGGTTAACATTCCTCGCACCACTTTTGGTACTAATCAAAACACATTGGGAACACCCCACAACATTTGCCGTTTTAGAGAAGCTCTGGCCCAGTTGTCTAGCCATCACTATTTGGCACTTGTCAGATCTTTTAATTTAAATATCATCAATGTATTCACTTTGCCAGTTAGTGGTTTAGTGGTTTTAATGTTGTGGCTGACCAATGTATAAAGCCAATTATCAATATCTGATGTATGGTCTTTTCATATATGTTTATATGTTGTTTTTTTTTTATTTCTTTTTGTCATGTTTTTGTAAAGTTCTCCCTGAATTAAGTTGTTTTATGCTGCAAAATATTTAATATTTGTAGAGTAAGTGAAACAATCTATATTCTGTAAATGTTGCCACAAGCTCTTATTTTTATTAAAAAAAAAAAAAAAAAATCCAGTCATGCATGAAAATGGAAGCAATGATCTGAATATACCTCAAACAAACCGTTTGGAATAGATCCAAAACATCTTAACATTACACGGTTTCCATTTCGGAAAATAATCTGATAAAGTAAATTTGCCTTCAGAAAAAACACAGTTTTTTTCGGGGAGCACCTCTTTATGGAAATTGTTCAATCTGATTTTATGAAAAAAAGAATTGGAGAAATACTCCACAGATATTCCCAAATAAATTAAATTAAAAGAATCAAATTATAATATTAAATATTTTAACAAGGAAAAAGTATGTTTACATTTTAGGTAGGTACCATGTGCTATCATGGATGACAAATCCAACTCCACAAGCCAAGCTTGGTCATACAGTCTCAGATGCACCCAAGAAGATAATGGCAATTTCATGTAGTCTAGATTCAGCAAAAAAAAAATTGCTTTTCCGGGGCACTCAGTAGAGTAAGATTAGAGTAGAGTAGCGACCTGAGGTTTAATGCTGTATAAACGGTCACAGCTTCATATGACCTTAGGCATTTTGTGTCCTTTGAGTTTCACGTTTCTTCATAATAAAAACATCACTGGCTATATTCAGTTAAGGTTTATTCATTCTAGAAAATGTATTTACAAAAAGGTACTATTAAACACACACATATATATATATATATATATATATATATTTTTTTTTTTTTTTCTTATAACAGTGGGTCTTCACCCTGGACCCAAAACTAGGGTACCAATCCTATTTCACATTGGTTGGAAGATGTCCATCAAATTCTTCAAGTCTCTGACAATGGCCACTTACTTTGTTTGCGAACCTGACAAGAGTTTGATCTGTGCGTTTCAAAGCCTCAGAATACCTGACATTACGTGATGCTGTAACACATGAAAAAGTCTGCGGCTGTAGTAAACTGTTCGATCCACTTGGCACAAGCACAAAAGCTCAACACAAATAGTTAATCATAAACAGGGTTTGTTCACTAAACACCAAATTGCCACTGAAAACTGAACTGCAAAATATAGACGAAACAAGATTATTTACTCAAGTGAGAATTCAAAGTGAACCTCACAGTAAATTTCAAATTGTATGCCAAGGTAGCCAAACTAGAAGGATAGTTGACTTAAAGAATATTGATAATGTGAGAATTTTTCCAGTTTAGCTAATTTGCCTTAAATTTTAATTCACTTTGAATTCTCACTTTATTGAATAACCCTGAAAGTGTTGATTAGTAAACATTCTCCATTCTAGCTACAGTCACTGATTAAAAAAAACAAAAACCCAAAGAATGTGCAATAAAATTGACGCTAAGAAGGTGCCGCCAAAAACCCAAGTGGGAATTTAATCACCCAAATTCGCCAAATAGAGAGTAAAAACACAGAAACACAATAGGTGGCACACTCAACATGCAATACAAAGTGCAGGTGCAGGATAAATAAATACCTGATTGGATTTTCTTTTCTTAGCAAATGGATTTATTAGAGCCTGTCTCAAAGTGGCTCAGGTAAAAGCGTATTGGAAGTGGTGATGGTTATCCAATGTTCACTCCGGCAAATAATTTCTCCATGAACATGTCCACCTCTCAATCGTGATAAAATGGAGCAGCGTCTCTGTCTCCAAATTCTCTCCTCTGTCCCTCCACTCCCAGCAACTCAACCAGCACTGCACGGCGCACATTGATGATGTCACTAAGAACGCACCCAGGAATAGTCACTGATTGGCTATTTTGTGTTTTAAAGGGTTATGTATGAAAGTGCGAATTGTCAGGAATTCAAATTGAATTATTCTGAAACTCATTTGAAGAGGTTGCCTTATCAAATTCTGTAAATATTTTTAAAACTAATCCTGAATGATTTATTTTTTTTTTTAAACTCAGTATATTGAAGGATATAATTAACATGTTATATGATAACTGATTATTAGATTTTATTACACTGATTTAACAAACGTATATGAACAGGTCTTTGATACAAGGAGAAATCGAACTGCCATTATGTAGTCAAGAAAGAATGTTTATTCCGTTTTGTGATGTAGTTGGCCATTGCTTCAAATTTATTTTATTTTTTTCCTTCTTTTTATCAATAGCATACCAAAATGTATTTTAAAGGCTGAACTTAATAGACAGTCTTTTTCAACCTAAATTACTATGTAACTATGAAGAACTTGTTCACTGTCCTTTAAACAAAGAACAACAAAGTTATTGTTACTCTTGTCGTAAGATAATGTTCTAGTTATGCATAGACACATGTGAAAAATACTTTTACACATTACTTTCCACACTAATTACTTGGCATACTAATAATACATTATGGTGGTTAGTTGGTTTGTTCAGAAATAACCTGAAAGCTTAATGGTATACTGTAACACCTGTTCTATGCATTCCCTGTGGTCACACTGTAGGTGGGGGTTTGAAGTGGCTATTCATTTTTAGAATTGGCTAATAGGGTTGGACCTAAACTTTTATCCCTTTACATGAGTACTGGGGACCTTAGAACCAACTTCCAACATTCTGATAATTAGCAGACTTGGGCCTTCATTTAAAATTTTTAGATACACTTTTCAAAGGATATTTACAATTTTGATAAAATATTTTACTTTTTTACAATCTGGCAGAATGGCACTCCGCTGTAGTAGGTCCATTGCTTCACTGGCACACCCACCAATGCCCCACGTTCACACTTACATATCTAAAAGTACTACATAAGTTTCATTACTCCAACTATCAATAATTATCTCCTCTTTCCGGGCCTTTTATATTTCCACACTTCCCAAAACTCCAGAGTTTGGTGGGACTGTCTTGAATTTGGGTTCCTGTCCCACCACCCTGAAATTGACCTCGGGGGACCCGCATGTGGGGGCACCAATGCATAGTCTGTAGGAGGGCTGCGCAAGCACATTATTAAAAAAACATTCACTCTGAGCTAGATGTACTCTAAGCAATGAACCCATGCTCAGAACACTTCAGGAGTGATTTTTGGAAGTATGGATTTTGTCTCATTTCAGCATTTTGTGTTACTTACTCTTCTTGTGTTTGTCTAGTGTTATCTCGAGTATTACTGCCTACCTTCCATTTCAATGTCCATGCCTCTACTAAAAGCAACTTAACAATTCCAAATCCAGTCTGTTCTAGAAGAAAATACAAGTGATCATTTACTGTTTACTTTTTGCTCCATTCATGAGTTACAAAATTGACTAGTTAATGAATAAAAAATTGTTACCAATTTAAGTTGTGTTTATTTAGTTATTTGTAAGTCAAAGAATGTTAAAGGGAAACTATAGGCTAGGAAAACCAAACTGTATTCCTAGCACTATATTACCCTATAGTGACCCAAACCCTTAATTAACTTAACTGAATCCAGCGCTGAGGTCATGTCCTTCGGGGCTTGGTCAGATTTTGCCTCTGCTCCTCCTCCCCCAACTTTGGGGACATAATGCGCATGTGTGGCGAATGCCACGATCACATCAGGACAACCCAATAGGAAAGTACTGAATCGATGCTTTCCAAAAGGGTTTTAGCTACCACTGGATGTCGCCCAACGACCTAGAAGCGACTTTAGTGGCTGTCTAGTAGACAGCCACTAGAGGTGGAGTTAAGGCGTCAATAACTGCAATAATTACCGTTGCAGGGTTAAACTAACAGGGACAGTGCACCCAGACCACTTCAATGAGCTGAGATTTCACCAGACAGTCGGTATGGGGTAGCATATCTAGGCTAGAGGTCAGGACCATATCAAATATTCTGTCATATAGCAATGGGGTTTCCGTGTCCATGCTTTGGGCAACAGAGGGTTAATCAAGTAATAGGCAGTGCCATACATAGCTTTCAGACTCACCTACCGCCACCCACCAATAAGCTATATAAGTTGCCATAATATGCAGGTACAATAACAGCAATTCCTAAGACGTAGCACTCACACATATATCGCAAGCAGCAGCTACATAAAGAGAGCACAAAGAAAGCATTATACATAATTAGAATTCTGTGCTTTATAATGATAGATTCCTTCTCCCTAACCTTATGCATTTGCCAGGACTTGCTTCCCCCCCACCCCCAAGAATGCCAGCAGAGAAAATCACTAGGCATCACAACTCAGATGTTGATATTGTACATTCTCTGTATGTTCTTAGATCTCCTGCTGGGACATACCATCCCACTCATCCATACACACACACACAAGTAGGAAACTTTACAGATATATTAATAATGTGGGCGTTTTTTTTAAACACAATGTAAATATCTCAGAGTATGATCACATTATTAGCGCACTGGGATTATGTGATTGTTTTCATAGTGTTAATAAAATTAAAGGGACACTACACTTTAAATATATATATATATATATATATATATATATATATATTTTTTTTTTAGAGTTGCAATTGTTAATAGTAACAGAAATTATATCTTCAGTGGTAATGGCACATCAGTTTGTGGAGTTTATTTGTTATTTGTAA